GCACTACGTCATTCAGGCATATCGGGATCAATCAGTATTTTTCAGCAACTGATAACAATATAACATCAACAGCAAAAGATTCTAGTATTCACTTCCTTAAATGAACTTCTGCATTCCAGTCTGTTTCCTCATTTGATTTTATATGACTCTTTTTATGCATGTGACCACAGATGCATAATGTGTAGGACTACTTGCCTTTTTAACATATTTTCTTGTTTCATTTATGAAAATAAATATTCCATAAGGAATATTGACTATTGGGGAACGAACTTAAGCACATAACTTATATCAGTTTTCATCTAGGAAAACACTAAAGCAGATGCTTTACTGTGGCCTATATCCAATTACTTTTAGTGAGACTTATGTATCTATTTTAATCCAACTGCGTATTTCAATGCTTTGCAGATCTGCAGACATAGGGCCCAGTCCTATAGGTCTCAGGAGGAACTCCAAGATACGATAGGGAAGTAGTGATCGTGAGACTGTCTATACCATATCAGGTGTCAAAAAGCACCCAAATGAAAACATGCCCCACTCACCCACCCCTGCTCCACATGCACCAAATGCCAAAACATATCACATTGCCATGTTTGGGCTCATATCCTGGCCACACACAGTGTAACTCTGACAGTAGCTACATAACATTTTTTGGCAAGCAACAAGTGCAGAGTGGAGACGCTCCCTAGCACTGTCTGATGCAGTGTAGCCATGTCTACATCTTGTAGACATGGCTACACTGCATATTACAACCTTGTCTGTCATCAAAAATGTTATGGTTATGTTAAGGCTTATATGAACTTAAGGGGGTAGCATCCCTCAAAAATGGTACTTCTGTCTGATTTTTTTTAAATAACATCTAAAATTATCGGTCCTGAAAGAGTGCCATGTGATAGATGCATTTTAATTCCAAGCTCTCTATATAATGTTCCTTACAATTTTTTTAAGGAATTTGTCCTGCCTTCCAAGTTTATTATTCAGGCAGGTAGTAAAAGGAAAAAGGGGCTTGCAAATAACTCTAGCATAGCTGTAATCATATAGTTATAATAGACTTTAGAATGATATACTGACTTTCATCCAAGAATTCTGAATTTCATGATAGGAGTTGTTATTGTGTACCTGATGATGCCAGGAAAAATGGCAATTTCAAATGGGTAAACTGAAGCAATGAGGAATAAATAGTTTACACAAGGCCACAAAGTAAGCTGGGAGCAGAGTTGAAAATAGAACCCAGGGTGCCAGCCCCTTTCTCCTGTAAGTGAAAGCATGTCCCATTCCAGTATTTACATATTAAGGACATCTTGATTTCATATGTCCAGGGCACAGAAGTAGGTCCAGTATGTTGTTAAGAGTTAGAGCAGACAGCTGGAGAGAGTCTCTTTACAAAGTGCCATATAATTAAGATCAAACTAGGAAGTAAGGTATTGTATTACAGGTTATTGCAGACTATACCATTATATTATTTGAGTTTCTCTTATCTGTGTCTTTCACAAGTAGTGAATGAAAGGGAACGCTGTATCAAATGGCTGAACCAAAACAGAACTGGTAAAATACAAGCATCTCCTATACAAATATAGAATGAGCCTGAACAAATTGAGATGATATATTGATCTTTTAAAGAGAGGAAACACTTGCTAGCAAAATCATTTCAATTTACTAGTTCATCTTTGGTTTGTTTATCCATGTCAAAATTAAACATTAACCTTATTAAACATCAAGAGAGCTTTAAAAATTTCAGACATTTTAAACTTTGCTTTGAATTTGACTACTTCCTTTAGAGTCTTTTAATATATAAATAAACCTTTCAGGAATGCCAATCCAGACAGACCTTGACAGAAAATAGTGAAGGCATTATGATAAGCACTACAATTAAAGAAAAATGTTTAAGAAATGTTCTCAGGCTCCTGAGTTATACAAAATGGGCTCTAGTGAAGAACTATGATGCTTCTTATTAAGTTTCATTATTCATTAACTTCTTATTAAGTTTCCATGTTCTATATTCTGTTCTACTCCTGATTCATTGGAGTTATTGGGCAAATTATGTACTTGCATCTCAGTTACCTATCTGGAGATGATCCTACTTTCCAATTTTATTAAAGGGATGCTGTGAGATGCTGTTATTTGTGAGATCCTTAAAAATGGAAAGCATTATTAGTATCACTGTAATCTCAGAAACAGATAAAATGATTGAGGAAAAAATGACTTTTTGATGTAGACTCGCAAATATTAAGCATCACGTTAGAAGCCGGTGATTCATCTTATTTAAGCCCTAATGCAGCAAAATACTTAAGCACTTCCTCACACATGCATCTCTATTAAGCAAAGCACATTTCAGTGGGACTCAAACACCTGTTTACTACTGTTAAGCACACTTTTAAAGGATTGACTAAATAAGGATGGACTTGGGCACGTGTTTAAATGCTTTGCTAAATGAAGGCCTAACTCTTCAGACAGAAGCCAAAACTATTCTTTTGATTCTGGCTCTTGTATTCCCTCCCTTCGAACAGAAATTTCTGGACAGAAAAGGCAAAACTTTATAATCTAAATTAAAACAAAACAACAATTTTGTTAAAACACAGTCTATATATGGGCAATTTGTTAAATGAAAAGGGCTAAATTTGACAAATACACTAGCTCTATAGGCATGTCCAGACATTCAGTGTTTTAAATGGCAAGTGAGTAACAAAGAATCTGATACAGCTCCAAATACTAGATAAAGAGTTTCCATCCTATCACACTTAAATCCTAACGTCTATCAAATAATTATGCTAAGGAAATTAGACTGTCAAGTTTCAGAATCAACTCTTGATTATCCCAAGGGTGAAAATAGTCTGGAAATCATTTTAATAGAAAATATATTCCTTTATTTTTGCATTCTTGAAACATTTGCAGTGGTATAAACAAAGTACATGCGCATACGTTCACACACACACACACACTCTCTCTCTCTCTCTCCCTCTCTCTCTCTCTCTCTCTCAAGTGTTACCATAATCTATTCCTGGGGTGGTCTCTTGTTTTGAATTTATGAAACAAGTTAGCAGAAAGTATACAGTATAAAGGTCTTTCATGAATTACAATGTACTAAGCAAGCATGTTTTTCCTTTTCCTTAATTTATAGTCCCTGGAAAAGGATGTTAAAAAAAGCCCTATGATCTGACTTCACAAATCTCAGAGGGATACTAAGTTCTTAACTGGTAGTATTGCTGGCTAAAATGTTAGACATATTTTATCACTAGAAGAGTGATAAAGAGTGATGTCTTTTACGGATGCATTATGGCCTTGGGGTTCTTTGTGATTATTTGTTTTAATCATTGGTGCAATACAAACTGTTTTTCTCCAAATTAAGAACTTCAGAAGGTTTTTAAGGATGCAACTCTAAAACTTACTTTAAGAGTACAAGTAGTAAATATGTCCAATAAGAAACTAAGTTTGCCATCCTTGTGCTACTCTTACTCTTCATCTACCCTGAGTCCCCTCCTAAAACCTATCCTCCTGTAAAGATCTGCTAATTATGAATTTTTGGCTTGGGGGCCAGGCACTTGGTCTTGGATACTGACCTGTTTGGTTTAGGGTTATTTTTACTTTTTACTATTTTTTTATCATTTAAAAAAATTAAGTTAATTTCAGAATGAAAACATGAAATATGCCATTTTGAAAATGTCAGAGCAGAAGACTTCAACTTTGCTTAAGTTTTTCTCTCTTTGTGAACCAAAACTATCTGCCAAATTTGATTCAATATCACAGATAGCTCCAGTCAGCCAGAAAAATTCATTTTGTGGTGAATTTGTATTCACCAACAAAAAATCTCCAATCTCTAGTCTCTTGATAGTCCAAATTTAGTTTTTGCGGGGCAGTAGTACGACCTCCACGCCAGCAAACAGACCACAACCATCTCCTGTTCCATAGCCACCACCTGGCCCAAGAAATCAGAAAGGACAGAATGAAGAAAGAATTGGATCAAAGGGAGGAGAAACAGAGGTGGTTGGTATGGCAATTTCAGTTTTATTGCTGAATAATGTTAGTGTTGGCCACAGCTGGTTGAATACAGCAAAACATTTTCTGTGAATAGTCATTTGATTTATTAAACTAATTTATTTCTTCTGGATCATTTTCCCTTTTGTGTTCACTTTGGATAAATATCATTTTTTCAAACATGTACTGCAGAAACTTTGTCTCCTTCACAGAGCACGTTTTTACTATGACTGCTCAGCAAGCATAGTACACAATACTCAGATAACAGTATGCAATAGCAGCCCTACTTCACTCCCAGCACAGTAATTATATGGTAACAGACAACAGTAATCTGCTTTTTGCCTGATTCACCAGTTCCTTAATATTTTCTGCTTTTACTGTACTTTCCAGATAACTGCTGACTTCACCTTAGTGCCTCCTGCCTTTTTTTTAAATTAACCCTCATCTTAGAGTTTGTATGAATTCACTACATTCCCCTGTGCCCAGGTGTTGAGTTTAGCCTTACATACAGGCTCAGTGCAGTCCCCTCTCATTTATGATATTAAGAGATAGTTGCTGAATGGTGGGATCATTATTTAGAAAAAAAATACCACACATGCACAATCTATGATCTTTAAATACTGCTTACCTCTGCCAACTAAGAACCAATTTTCATCCAATGCTGAAAGGTACCCCTCCACTGTAAAGATTACCTATTTGCCAAACTACTTACGCTCACCTTCTATGGTGCTAGAATAGGGTTTTTTAAAAAAAAGCTCTAAACAACTCTCTTACAATAGCTTAAGTTAGGTTTTTGTTCAAGCATTAAAAACATCACCTATTGGCACAGACTAAGACTGGACATCCCCAGGGGCAGGTTTCAAAGAGTTATGAGTAAATGAAGAAAAGATCTTAGAATGGGACCATACAGGCAGTCAGTGCAGCTCCCAACAGAATTCCCAGTGTAATAATGCAGTCTATCAGCTGAGTGCTAGTAGGGCTTGTACATTTGCTTTGTAATAATACAACTTTTCCATTCGTTTTTTGCGTAGGTAAGCCAACAGGGTATGGATCCAGCAGTAGACGATTACACCACAAGGGGATAGTGGATGAATGCTGCTTCCAGAGCTGTGACCTGAGGAGGCTGGAGATGTACTGTGCCCCTATCAAGCCACCTAAATCTGCGCGCTCTGTACGTGCTCAGCGCCACACTGATATGCCAAAAGCACAAAAGGTAGGGCAGGCTGTGAAGAGTGCCCCTACTTATTTTAGAGTAGCAGAATTTAGGCAAGTCTGGTCATGCATCAAACAGGAGATATGTTCTACCTGATTGCTAATGCACCTATTAAGCATGTAGTGACGCTTAAAATAATGGCTGTCAAAGGGCTGCTCACTTCCTTAAATCAGCAATGGAACATGAAATATTCATGTCCATCTCATCCTTTTGATTGCTGATCAAAAATAGTGACTGGCTGGTCTTGTTCTACTCATAATGAGTTTTTAACCTCATTCCACACCTTATTGGACAGGTACACACAGTCAAGCATCACTCCTGATGGCATTAAATGCCATTTCAAAAGAAAAAATACATACTGAATGGTCATGAACTCCTCCCCTCCATAGTGACCACCACGGAAAAAAGAAATTGTATTTCTGCTCTCCATACTCTGTAAATTACCATTAGTCTGACATTTTTATAGCAGAAACAAATTACTATTTAAAAAAAATTGTACAAAAATATCAACATTGTCATTTTGTTTTGCTGAATAATTTAGTAGTAATAGTATGAATAGCAGCAGAAGTAACATTTACTATACACTAGCACTTGGAATGACTGTGACTCTTGTTACCATATTTTCTTGCATACAACATGCACCTTCTCCTCCATAATCAGCCCTTCAGAACTGGGGTGTACATATTAAGCAAAAGAGCTGATTTTCTTCTCAGGATAAAATACCCTGTTTTGACTCCTGTTGAACAGTGCAGCAGCTGTGGATGACTATTCAGGCAGCTGAAGGAGTCAATTGACTTAATGGCTCATTGGCACACAAGTGAACATGCATGGTGCTGCATTGCTTGCAGTTACAAAAAGCCAACAGCATACTGTCACTTGCAATTCAAGGGAAGTGATTCTTCTACTGCAAAGTCCTCACCTGGAGTACTGTGGCCTGGTTTGTGTCCCACACTTCAAGAAAGATGTGGGCAGTTTCAAAATATTCCAGCAAAGAAAAACAAAAATTATCAGGGACCTGGGAGGCAAAATTTATGAGGAAAGGCTGAAAGAACTAGAGTTATTTAGTCAGGAAGAGAGAAGACAAGGGGGCAGATTTGATAACAGTCTTCAGATACCTGAAGGGTGATCACAAAGAGGATGTTGATGGGCCTTTCTTTGTGGCGGTAGGGAACAAGAATTGGAGCAATGGCCTCAAGCTGCAGCACAGGAAGTTTAGGTTGGCAATTAAGAAAAACTTACTGACTATCAGGGTGGTCAAGCACTGGAACAGGCTACCTCAAGAAGTTCTGGAGTCTCCATCCTCGGAATTTTTCAAGGTCAAGTTACACAAACACTTGGCTGGGATAGTTTAGTCAGAGATGATCCTACCTTGAGCAAGAAATTGGACTAGAGAATAGATAACTTCATGGGGTCCCTTCCAGCCCTATTTTCCTATGATCCTATGCAGTATAAATGCTGTGGGGTCATAAATGTAATTAAGACAGCATTGTTTGAAAAGGAAAATAAGTTAATAAACAGAAGACTTTATTAAAAGACTATGAATCTGAATATTTAACTTGAAAAGCACTTTTATATGGCTTTAAATAAAAATGACAGATAGTGGAGTCTACATTTAAGAAACGCCATTTTTAGGAACCACTTCAACTAATGTAATCTGTATTTTCATTGTTCCTTGCCTGAAATAACTTTTCCAAAATTGTGGTGCCTGGGGAAAATGTAATTGAAGCATGAATTCTAGCTCTTTCAGATTCAAAGCTGGAATGCCAAAATAAATAGAAATGTGGGATATTTCAAAGCTCATGCTACTTCCAGGATTTCAGACTCCAAGTCCGTCAATCCTTAATCTTTTATGAGTACCATATTTACTTGATTGTAAGAAGAGGTTTTGCCCCCCATTTAACTTGGGGGAAAAGCACCTCTCATCTGAGAATTGTGTATGAAGGCAGCAGCAGGGGGCAGGTGGCTGCCTTGGCTTGAGGTCAGAGTCATAGCTGCAGCTGCCGCCTGCCTCCCACCCACCCCTGCTGCCTCCATACCCCACTACCTTCCCCCTTCAGCCTCTTCTCTCCACCTTCTCCCACCAAGCAGCCTCTGCTCCCCTGCCTGCCCGTCTTCCTCCCCACTTTATTTTTCCTTTGTGCTGGCAGGTAACATGAATGCTGCAGCCTGGGGCACTTAGCACAGCCACAGCCTGGGCCCAAAACAGTGGGGTGCAGCCTACACAGCTGCTACAGGGGCTGGGCTGGGGCCATGCTCAGTGCCTCAGGCTAGAATGGGAACAGAGCCTGCCAACGGAGGCTGGACATAAGGAAGAACTTTTTTACAGTCCGAGCCCCCAAAGCCTGGAACAGACTGCCGCCAGAGGAGGTGCAAGCACCCATTCTGGATTCCTTTAAGAGTCAATTGGGCATTTATCTTGCTGGGATCCTGTGACCGCAGCTGACTTCCTGCCCCTGGGGCAGGGGGCTGGACTGGATGATCTTCCAAGGTCCCTTCCAGCCCTAATGTCTATAGAAACTATGAAATCTATGAAACATGGAGAAGAGGCTGGGGAGGTGGGGAGGGAAAAAGCAGAGGCTGGGCAAGAGTAGGGAGCAGAGGCTGAGGGAAAGGGGGAGAGCAGAGGCTGTGTGGGAGGGTGAGCAAACGCTGGGGTAAAACAGAGAGCAGAGGTAGCAGGCACAAGCAGAGGGCAAGCTGCTTGACCTCCCTATACTACTTGCCTCCCCACTGCCTGTACCCCTGCAGCAGTAAGAAGGATGAGTTAAAGAGGACCCTTCAATAATTAGATTATATACATGGAAAATTATAACAAATTTATAAATTTCCCATATATAGAATCTAATTATTGTAAATAGTCTTAAATTTGGGGTTGTCTTAGACTTGAGTAAATATGGTATTAAATTTACTTTAGAATTAAAAACTTCAAAATGAAACTTCAAAAACCTTCAGGATTTATACAGCATGCATAGACAATAAAAGAAAATGGGCCAAATAATAGGTATTTTTGTAATTTAATAAACTTCCTACTTTTTAAAGTCAACTGTTGGGAGTGCAAGATAAACAGAAAAGTTTAGGTCCTATTCTTCAATGTATACTGTAGCTTAATACATTTATCTAATCCCTGGAGTAGATCTGGAAATCTCATGTGAATGTATGAAATTAATTACATTAAATGGGAATTTTTTTTTTAAGTTACATACTCTTATTTTATCTACTTCACACTTTCCCCTTTTACAGTTTATTGGAATAAGTCTGTTCTAAAGCCACAGAAACCAATGAGTCCTTTCAGTGGGTGTGGGGTCTGGCTTTCTGAATCAGAGCCTGCAGCCGTTAATTAGGCCCTGAGTTTGCAAGTGGATCCTGTGACTGTGGGCTCTGTGTGGGTATAAAATTCCACCCATTCAGAAGAACTTCAAGAATGGGCCTTAGTGCTGGCATAATTCTGACTCAAGTGTATTTCATCTGGAAGTCAAAGAGAGGTTTGCCTATAAGAAAGCAAGTAAGGAATTTGAAGCTCTGATCCCACATTTACATACCTACATAAAAATATATAACAATATATAAGGATATTGTTGAAGATTTATTGTGGCTGGTGCCAACATTTATCAGGCAACATCAGAATGTATCATTAAGCACAGGATACTAAGATTAGGTGAGTTATAAGGCTCCAAGATTCAATAAAGTATGTGCACATCATTGAAAATCAAACTCAGAAGCAATTTTTGTGGAAAAGATTGCTTTTCTTTCTGAGGAAAAGATCATCTTGTCTAAATGACAAATGTCTAAACAAAATCTGACAATCTTAGGCAATGCTTAAATGTTTCTATCCTTTTTTTTAATACAGTACTGAAGACTGAAATTATTTTACTAGAAGTAGGTCATCACCACCATTACAGAGTGGCTTCAAGCCAAACAAAACATAGCAGTGGTTATTCTAACCAATGAAAGCAAGTGCATTGGAGATATTGAAAACCCCTGTAATTGTTTAGTGATAAGGTCACTGGAAAGTCTTGTAAATATTCAGTGACTCTGATATGATGAGCCAATTCCAGAACATATTTGACATGGAAATACCATATTTATTTATTATTAACTTACAGATATATTAGAGTATATATTGCAGTAGTGGCTTTCTCTGATTTGATAAGAGTTTTCGAAGCAGCGAAGGTCTGTTGGGTCTAGGGAATCATTGCAACTCATAGTGCTTCCTGCAAAGTGCTATGAGTTGCAACAGAGAACACATCTTCTGTTCTGTCTGTGCCCTCTATCCTTAGTTATACCTATTTAGGTCTCATGGGAATTTGGCTCAGCATTCATCAGATAGAAGGTACCAGGCTTCAACTCTGCCTCACATTTGGCATAATTTGATTAATCATGAATAACAACAGAAAACAAACTCAGGAAACTATTGTAAAAGAAATTTATTTTAGTAAAATAATAAATACAATTAAAGCCAAAAGTATGTGATCTCAGTGCAGTTTATGCATATCATGTGTTTCAGAAATTACCAAACGAACCACATTCCTAACTTCTTCCACGGAGAAGAAAAAATGTCAGAGGCAAGTCTGAAGGTTTAAGCACTCAGACAAATACTATTTTGTACTTCTGTGGTGCCTTTCACCAAAGCTGTTAAAAATCTTTACATATATGGTTTTAAGTAATTAAGCCTCATAACAATGGTGTGATACGGGTAGCAGTCCAAGTTTGGAGGCCACCCCTCCATATTTAATTTTGAGTTCTAACATGAGTTTTAAATAAAGCATAAAACTAGTTGGTCACCAAATGTGAATTTGGTAGGTCCCTCAAATTTTAATCAAGTTTTTACTTGGTTTCTTTTCAAAATGTTCTAGTGGGTAGAGTTTGAATTTATGGTTTGGCTGAACTTCTGTGACAATCCTCCTTTTCATTAAGTCTCTTAACAGAACATTGTCTATATACAACTTGGTAGAGTGGTGGATCCTTAGTAGATCTGGTGCCAGGGAAACATTTGCTTTTTG